CAAACAAGTGGCCATGAAGGACAGCAACATCTGTTTTGAGCAATGACTGGTCACTTGTTTTTAAAAACCTCTAACAGATTAAATCATGAAGTATTTAAAAACAGTGTCTGAATCACAAACAACACTCAAAAGCTCAGAATTCAAAATAGTTTCCAGAAATGGTGAAAAAAAATTAATCAAAACTAATCAAGTGCCTTTCACAGCATCTGTTTAAGACACCACCCGATGTCCTGGAGATCAAGTAGAAGTATTTCATTGAAAATATAAAAAAGGTTTACTAAGGCTTTTTAAGGGGGGAAAAAAATCATGCATTCTTTGAGATTAAGGATTATTTTAAAAAGGAGTTCTAAGTTGCAAAACCAATTCATATCAAAACCCCCTGGGAACCAAAAAGACATGTGATGTAAGATATTCACAAGGGCTTGAGGACAAGTCACTCTAACAAAGTCTTAAAAATACCAAATAAAACATAATTTATGCAATACAATTCAACGTTTTCAGACTTGAATCCAACATGTGAAAGATCCACACCCAGTGCACTAAGGCGTCCTATTATAAACGAAAAGCTCTGTGCATTAAAAAATATTCAAATCAGTCACCTAGACACTCATCTCACTACACTCATCATGTCAATTCATCTTGTGCTTTGTGCCACTTCAGACCATTCCTGACTCCAGCTCTGAAATTCAAGTTGACCAAAGTTAATAAAATGTGTCTGTGGGATGGACACCTGCCCGGCTCACACCAGACCCAGAGTGACAGGTTAAGGACAGTGCCTAAATCAGAATATATTCCAACTTCCTGGAAGTTTTCCTGGCAAAAGACATAGAGCTGCATTAACAGGTTCTGCTCTCTCTGCTGCAGTTTCAGAGGAGGCTCCAGGTCACAGAGAGAGGGGAAACGGCCTCAGACATGAGGAATTCCTCTTTACTGCCTTCAACAGAGTGAAGCAGGTTATCCCCAACTTTCTCCTCTCTCCAAATTCCTCAGTCCAGCCCCAGCTTTGGTAGGTAAGGATACCTCACAATTTCTGGCTGAAAAATGTTGACAATGCTCCTCTGCCACATTCTATCCTAAAGTGGGCATGACAACACTTCTTCCACTTTTGTATTCCTTTAAAAACTTGCACATATGTGCCACATAATATTACTGTGTTAATTAAGTTAAATAAATGATGTTTGAAGCCAAAAGCCTCTATAGACTTTTCTTCAGGCAAACACTGAAGTATTTCAGACCCAGAATATGCTGGTGGACCCACATTAAGTGATGAAAAGATCTGGACCATCAGCATAGCCCTTAGTTCCATAATCTATGATGATCTGGCCTCTGTAATAATCAGTCAGCAGCATCCTTCATACAAAGCATTTAGAAAGACCTCTTCCATTTTCTACTTAATTTCTTCTTCTCTTGTTCTACCCCATTTTTTTCACAGAACACAGAAATGGAAAGGGAAAATAGCCCACACAATAAACACTGGATAGAGAACAAGAACCACAGTGGTCCCTCTTGTGTGACAAAAAACCCACAGGCTCCATTATCTGCACTGGAGCATCCATGAGAATTAATAAATTGGTCAGACAACATATGAAAAGTTCAGAAGACCCATACAACTAGTCTGTGAATGAAGTCTTCTGTCACCTTACTCTAAATAGATAATTTCCCAAAGCAGACTGTTATTTGTGAAATACCAACTGTGATGCTGAGAACTCAGGAAAAGGCATTTTAACCACCTGAAAGCAAAGGCAGATGACAAGAGCAAGACCTTCAGGAAGACTCTGCCAAAAGTCTGTTTAATCCGTTCTTTAAAGAGTTTAAAGAAAAAAAGGCAGTTGGCACTTGCACAGTTCAGGTTAATTCCAAGTATGCTTGAAGACTGGATTACTATCAACTACAGCCACCTGAGGAGTACTGTGCAATTCAGACAAGCAGAATTCACATTTAAGTCCCAGTTACCACAGGTCCACCACATTTCTCAGCTGTGACACACCTCTGATCCACCATTTATTCAGTCCTCATCAGCAGAATATAGCTTTGAAATATCATTCACACTAAGTCACCCTAAATGCTTATAGAGTAAGACAACGTCACTGCTTTTTTCAAGATCAGTGTAAATGCTAAAATAACTCCAAGCAGGGAACACAGATTAGTTTCTCTGCATCCTTTCTAGCAGTTCCTCTCTAAACATTTGATGAGTTAAGTTGCAAGAAAGGCATAATTGAACAATAAGCTCTGCACTGAAATATTAAAATTGAGATTCAAGGTTAAGGGAATTTAATCAGTCCCCACTCTAAGCAGGTTCAATCTTGATCAACACTACCCTGATGTAGTACTACATTATTTCCCATAATTTAGAACTCGCACCATATGTTATAACATGCTCATTACAACTTTGTTCAACCCTTCAATTACATCCTTCTGCAGAGGGTTGTAAGAATTAACCATTACATGGTTACAAGTCATTTCATCAGCCCTAAATTAGTAACACCTGGTTTCCAATAGATTTATGACTGGCAATTGATTAGCTCTGATTGAAGCTCTTGCCATGTTTGGAGCACACACAGGCTCTCTGTGCTGAGAGGCTTCTCTCCTAGATAAGAAAGGAACTCAGAGGCAAATTTTTCCTTCAGTTATGGCACTATCCACTCCTGGTCTTTTCCCTGGAAGAACTTCATTACTTTCCATGTTTCTACCTCTGCCACATCCAATCAAAAGAAACCATCCAGTTTAAATTTAAAGGGGAAAGCAGACTGCAAATATTTAATTGTAACCACACAGTTTTTAGAAACAAAGCAACCAGAAAAATCACTTGTCTATTATCCTTTGATTATGCAATCCTAAAAACAAGAGCAAATTCAAGTCATTACATATCCAGAGATTCTTTATACAGTGAAGAAAAGGATGAATGAACTACAGTCTGGAACAAGTCTTTGATCTTTTTCAAATGGCTTGTCAAAGTTGTCTAACCATTGCTCTATTGCTATAAGTCAACATTTATACATAAACAAGTGAATTCTAATGGCAAAAAGGCGTCTGACGTGTAACAGAGCAAGAAAGGTAGCTCTGCAAGATAAAACGTTAGTCAGAAAGTAAATTTGACTTCAGCTCAAGAGCTAACATACTACATTTAATAAAACAAACATGAGATATGTACACAGTGACACTTAATTCCTAATCCTAATATGACTGATAACCTATGCAAAATTTATAAAGGACTTCATAAGGGAAGTCCATTTTATACCCACTTTGTAACTCAGTGAGTCATGGAAAGATGAAGTAACTTTCTCAGGGTCATACAGCATGTTACCAGCTGAAGCAGAAAAAACCCAAACCAGTCAGGGCAACCAAATGACACTGCTGGATCCTCTCAGTTAAGACAGCCCTCCCTCCCCCTCATGAAAAATTAATTACACTGATTTTTTTCTGGTGCACTGCTTATGTAAATAAAAAGGTAGTAAGCAGTGAAGTTTTTCCTGTAGGCCAAAGGAGCAAGAGTCCTTCCAAAAAACATTCCTTTTATTTTATTTCCTTCTAAAAACTATTGCACACAGATTACCTAGGTTTGCTGTACTTCTCAACTTATGAAACCAAAAGTGAACAGAATTAAAATCTAATTTCACAGTCAATTAAAAAAAAATTAATTTCCAATTTTTCTACAGTGGTGTAGACACACTTCAAAGATACCAGTTATGATGCCTGTACAGATACTCCTTATCCTCCAATTGCTTTTTGCATCCCAAATTGTGTTTATTGGAAAATGAAAGAAAAACAAATGCAAGACACTTGTTTCCATAAAAAACAATTAAAACTGCTTTTAAAATGTAAATAAGGTCTCTACATAATACTAAAGGCTGTTGACGAAAATTTCCCTGAAAACCGCAATACTTTTAATAGAAAAATAGCTCCAAAAATATTATATTGAAGATAAAATATAACAGGAATTGACTTAATGAAACTGTGGTTTTACTGTTTAACCTTTTATGACTTCACAGAAGAAAAAATGGCAATTTAAAAACTCCGTTTCTGTACAAAATATGGACATCACAATTCCTCAGCTACATGTCCTGCATGAAAAATATTCTGCAACAAAACCAAGCAGGTTTGCAAACAGGCAATCAAAAGTCACAGCAGGTTTCTGAAATCTGCTTCTTTCAAACACATCTGATCTCTGTGCCAGCAATTTACTGTGTGATACTACACAGATGTTCAGACATCTACTCTCCTCCTTCAACACTGCACTCATCAGAGGATAATTTTTGTGTGTTTTATATTTTTGTGTGTTTTATATATTTGGAAAGCAGAGTACATAGGTCTTCATTTGAAAATATTTAAGGCAATACTGCAAGCTAGGTTTTCTTTTGCTTACTTTGATACTTTTCAAACCATTTCAACTAGAAATTTAGAATAACAGAACTGAAATGATGAGAAAAATTCCAGAAGCATGCACTCCTTCAATTCACAGAGCTAAAAAAAAAATATGAAGTTGAAGCAGCTAAGTGCCTTGTTTGTTTTCCAAGTTAGAAATGTAGCAAGGTCATGCAATGCCAGTTCCATTTTTTATTTAAAAAGTGAGGGCATTGAAATGCCTGAAGTAATGATAAAAATGATTGCTGAGTTTTACAATAAATATATATTACTGCTTTTTAAGCTTAGGGATTATTTCAAATAGCCTTTTATTATATCAAATAAAATAAGGATTCTATTCATACAGAAAGAGTCAAGTAATAAAATGAAGCCCATATTCCTTAAGACAAGATGCATTCATGCCTCTCCCACTGGAGAGACTGGTTCAACAATTTTACAGTTAAACAGAATTAATTCTACTCTCAAAAATCCATTGACCTTAAGCTTTTAACAAACATTTTCAACTGCAGAGTGTATTGTCAATATTTACAAATCCTTAAAATTATATTTCACTAGAACAGCTTTTATTTGCTATATTAATATTTCCTTGCAAATGTATGCTTATCCATATCAGAGAAGAAGAAACAGCTGCTACTCACAGGAAATCTCTGGGGTCCTACAGCAGGTCTTGGTTGGGCGGGAACTGGCAGCAAGGGCACTGAAACAAGAAGCACCTTTTAACACCATTTGTTTTACCTAACAGTTGTTGTTATTTCCAAAAGCAGTTGCAATATGATTAAAATCTGCTACTTTTACCCTCATGTGTCACAGCTCCTACAATTAACTTCAAGCAGCCGTTCCCTCCCCTGCAACATGCAACAAGGTAATTAGGATTCTCCTAGTTAATTTACATAATTTAGTTCTGCATTTTCCGGAATTAAATTGCTCCTTGTTGCAGGAAGAAAAACTAGAATAGTTATTCAGCCAAAAGACATCTCTTAGACAAAGCTGACAGAGAACTCCATGTTTCAAATAGAAGGATATATGATTAATTTGCCTTCTCTACTTCATGCCACTCAACATTTCCTAAGTATCTCCCAATCTCACTACCAAGCTACCACAACAAGAATGGACATGAGAGACACTAACTGGTATAAATCACTGCTCCTGAGGGTTAATATGAGGCAGGCAGCTGCAATTAACAGCACACAAAAACTATTTAGTCTGGCCTTGCCACCACAGCGCTTGTATGGAACTGATCACAAAACTGGAGATCTCAGATGAAAGACTGTTAATGCATAAAGAGAAGAATTAGGAGACCTTCTCCCGAAAAATAACTCCCAAACCAGTATTTCAGGGGGATTAGCATAGATGACTTGACCATACAACTACACTTCAACACACTAGTCAAAAAAATATTTCCCAAAACATTCACTTGATGTTATGGCACAACACACAAAGAACTACAGCTGAATCACCTTGGGGACTGATCTGTATTTGAATCCCCACTACAGAGTGTAATGACAGACTTCCCATTTTCCAGTGCACTTCTTATTTCCTCTCTGAGTTGTTTAAGTGGTTAAAAATATCAATGTTCCCATGTTAAACAAAAGGCCTAGAAAAGTTAAATAAAGTACTTCAAGCAGCACTGAATCTGTTTGGCCATTTACTAAAAACTTTCAATACAGTTGTTCTTTCTTCAGTTTGTTTTTAGCACTTCTGAAAGTGATAGGAAAACGTTTTCCACATTTAAACATTGACTTGTAGACAGCTACTGTGTTACACTAGAAAGATGGCAAGAAATGCAGCTAATTTGAGGAAGAAGTTGGGTGCATTTCTCAACACAGGAGTTTGCTAAGATGCCTCAAAAGTCCCTTTTTCCTTGGGAATTGAGGCACAAGAACCAATGCATTAGAGGTTGTTTTTAGTTCATGTTCATGTCTGGCTTCCATCCACTTTTGCTAAGTACTTGTGGTTTGCTGGTTCAGAGAGTGATGGAGTAAACTAATTGCAGCCATCTTTCAGCAAGGGAGGACTGTGTGCAAGCTTTATATCACATTACACGAGAAAATGAGTTGAACGGTCTCATCTTGACTTCTAATGAACATCTGTCGATATGAAACAGCCATGGCCACCTGGAAAAAACTGACAGGTTGCACCTGACAGACACAATCCTAAAATAGTTCAGGTATTATGGGTCAGGGAGGCACTGAGAAAAACAGCATACAGTGGGAAATGTCAACTGAACAGAGCACTCGAGTCCATTTCAGTATCCTGCCTCTGGTAGTAGCATACACAGAGATACATATTTATATATTTTAAACAAATTAATTTATTACTCATGAAAGATAGTAGTTCAAACTCTGGGCCCTTTCAAACCTTGGACACTTGCTTCAGCAGCAAAGAAGTCTCAAGTAAGTCCTCATTTTCTTGATGTCAAATATTCCCTAGGTCTGAAAAGCATGTTTCAAAAATATTACACAGCACAGTTGTAAGAAACTATTTTAAGAAGATTAAATTGCTTCTTGCTGTATATATGCTATAGCTTCCAATGCTATACCTGAAAAGATGAAGAAGCACTTCCCATATTGATTACTTAGGAGAATTATAATGTGATTTTTCTCGAGACACCAAACAGTTTTCAGAAGGTAAATGGCACACTGAGCTGCCATAAACTGCTCATTAGTCCATGTCAATTTTGGCAGTGCCATGGTATCCTTGAAATAGATACCTGTGGCATAAACATTTGAGGGGAAAAAACGCAATCCCTGTTATCAGAGGCTGGATCGGTATTTCACAGTCCACCTATGTACAGCCCTCCAGTATTAGTAAATTGATCATACTCAAATTTGGACATGCATTCAGAAAAGGCTGCTATTTACAACTCAAAAGTATAGACAGAATAGGACAAAGTTGTTAAGAAAGAAAAAAGTTGTTATATGACAAGCAAGCAACTAAAAGATACAGGATTCAAATGCCACAGGAGGCACAACTGAGCACTAACAGCACAGTACCTGTGGAAGGTATTCACAGAAGCTCGTGTTTTAGGGGCTTGATAGACTGAGTCCTTAATCATTTATGAAGCTTCAAAGACTAAAAATAGTACAAATTCATTTGAAACAAAACTGACTTGAAAGTAACTATTTTTTTGAACCAAGATTCAAGGCTGGGCAGGGAGATGGTGGCCACTGTAAGAGATGTGCCTTTGAAACATCAAAGGAATAAGCCAATGATAGGATTCTTCAAGAGTGCTTCTACTCCCTTTCAGGCTGAAGTAGCTGTCTACTACAGCTCTTTTATATGGTATTTTATTCACATGAAAGTTTCATAACAATTTACAGGAGGTTTGACTCTATTTTAGAAAATAGTGATATACTAGACTCATTTCAAGACTAAAACCAAAAAGACGTTGAAAAAGTATATTTCTATGATCTGCAGTTGGAAAAGTGTCCCTGCTGCTGACAATTAGAAGTATGTTAGCTTAATCCTGCCATAAAATTAGAGAGGAAAAAATGCCAGTCTACACTAAAACATGACAGCACACCATTAAAATTACCAGAACCTAAATGTGCATATCATGCACTCCCAGACATGGCATTTTTAGCTTCCAGGCATAATGTTCTCAACAAAAGAATCCCAATAAACTTTGCACCTATCTGACTGTATTCTCCAATGTGTAAAAACCTTCATGTATCTGGAAATATGTTCAGCCAAAAAGGGGCAGGGCATCATCAAGAACATGAAGTCAATCTGATCTTTCATAGTTCCTGTTAACCTGAAATAAATGATGCTGTAAGTGAAACATATCCTTATGTTGTCAACCACCAGTCTCTGCCTACTGGGGCTTCAAGCAGATGTTTAAGAGGAAGTTTAGAATGGCACTCCCTACACTGGAATTTCTGTCTACCATTTGCCTGCAGTGACTTCTTAGAAGTTCATTTTAATATGCAAATACCATTGAAAATTTCAGAATTATCCTCATCTACCCATAGAAGGCTCCTAATTTCAAACACATTTTCCTTAGGTGTGCAAATGAATAACTGTACTGCTGCAGACTAAGAGACTGAGATGGCCACTACTCTCAATCACTGCAAAGGACTCAGCTTCGAATACATGCTCTCTAATCAAGAAGATTAAATTTCTACAGTGAGAGGAGGATCTGCAAGTAAAGACTGAAAAAGAGACTATGCTCAAGATAAAGCAAGAGACCTGCAACCTGCCACAGACAGTGGGAAGGCTGGGACAAGCCTGAAGCTGCCCAGTAAGGTTAAAAAAAACCTCAGATAAAAGAAAGAAAATACACAGGTGTACTTTTGACATTAGTCAAAAGCACAGGTCCTCAGTAGCCATTCCCAGCATCAGGAGGACACCTGCTCACCTAGATACGGAAGATTTGTTGACTGTTTCATAGGGAGAGAGAAGAACAGTCTAAAAGCAATTTTTGCTCCTCACAAAACTGTAACTTCTACTTTGGCAATGTTAGGAAAATGCACAGAAGGCATAAATCCAAGAGGAAAGGATCTTTTGGAGTGGTTCCAGATAATCTGTCTTGATGTATAATTTTGTGGAAAGCATCACAGGGAAAAGCCAAATAAGCTCTACAACACAGCTACTACAAAGCCATCTGTGGGAAGCCTAATAGATCTCCATATACTCACAATATTCTACCCTGCCAAGTTCCTACTTTTCATTGGCTAAATAAATGAAGCAGAGATAGCAGTGGCTTGGAGTTCTGCTGATTTGAAGGAGGAAAAATACAGAAAACCTAATGGTAGATATGTATAAATATTTATGTATTTCTTTATCTAATCCCAACAAAATCACAAATCAGAGCTATGCAGGCGTCTTTTTTTACCCTCTTAGGGATTAAACACTTCCTAAATAAGAAGTAACATTATCAGCTTTGCTGAAAGCTACCCTAAGAAGTGTAGCCCAAAGAGTGTTTGTGTTAACTTACAGAAAAATATGTACTTGCAGGCTGTGAATCAAACAATTACAAATGTGGCCCTGAAAGGAGAATTGAGGACATGTATATTGTCAAGGAAGGACAGTAAACCGGTACCTTTCACACAGCAATTACAGTGCAAGGAGTGCCCTCTCACTGAAACAGATGGGTGGTCATTTCTGTGAATGCTTAGCTGAAGCTGGAATGACGTGGGAAATTACAAACTGCAGTACTTACCTAGCTTTGAAAACTGACGTTTATTATTTTTAAAAAGCCCATTCTCTTTTCAGCTTCCAATGTTACTGCTCTTCACAGGCTTTACATTAGAGCAACAAACATAAAAGCTGAAAAGGCTTTGCTATTTCAGTTGGCGACAGTCCAACAACATTATGTCTTACTTCAGGCAAAACATTTGTTTCCAGCTAAAAGAAAACAACAGCAGCCGGAAGCATATCTCCATGAACTGGTAAACAAACTGTTGCATCCCTGGCAAAGAATAAGATGAGTCACTCTTGCATGACTGGAAAGGTGCTCAGAAAGCTCACCTTGTACAGGTGTCACTACTGTCCCCTTGAAATGTGGATTTATGTGTATGTTCTTCGGTTGCTGAGGTGTCACTGGAGGTGGAGTCATCATGATTCGAGGCGTTTCTATCGGAGGGGGCATATGTAGCACTGGAGGAGGAGAAGAATGATGCTGATGCTGTAAAGGAAGCAGAGATTGTAACTGTTGCTGCTGCTGCTGTTGTTGTTGCTGCTGCTGTTGCTGTTGTTGTTGTTGCTGTTGTTGCTGCTGGAACAGACTCATAACAGGTTGCTGGTGTGTTGGAATTAACCTCTGTGAATGAGTCTAAAGTCAGACAAAAGAACAAAGTCACCAGGCTTTAAAGTTAAAATATCCTGACACAAATGAGCACAAAACCAAGACACCTTTGGAGAACAATTAAGGCTAATTACGAACAGAAAAACTTCTTTCCCCTATATTAACTGGAACTGTTTAGAACCATCAGCACAGGAAAGCAAAGGAGCAATCAAAGACATTCATGTGAAGGAGCAGCAGAGAGCAAGGAAGCACAGAGGGCATGCAGACACAGTCACTTATTTTTAACAGTGAAACTGTCTAGTTTCATATGGTAGTGTTCTGCATGACACTGGAAACTGTCATCAACTGCAATAAGGTATATGTAAAGAACACTGGAAATCTGAGTTCAGGTATCAGAATAAATCCACTAACTTCTGTCTCACACATAGAAGAGCATGAGAAAACAGATCTAGAACTGGTTAAAAACAGTTAAAACACAAATTAAACTAGATTCTTTAGTTATCAGTTCAGCAAACCTATCCATACTGCTTGAAGAAAAAACTACTTTAAAGACACCTTTCAAAGGTACCTTTCCTAGCACAGAAGGCAGTCTTTTGCTGCTTAACACTCAAAAACAAATAGCAAAAATCAGTTCTAATTTAAAAAAACCTATTTTTTTTAGAGACATTCTTCTGCCTCTGAACTCAGTGACACCAGGTCTCAGAACTACCCAGTAACTTCCGAATGATAGTGGAGTCCCAAAGAGGCAACCTTCTAGCAACAAAGGTGTGACACTTTTTTTTTTGCAGCCATATACACAAAGCACACCAGCTACATAGTATACACAAGAAGATACTGTGACAAGCACAAAAATGTTTACAACATTTAAAATCAAAATAGCTAGCAAAGACTGCAGCAAACCAGAAGAGTAAATTATTCAACCTTCACTGTTTTAAAAGCATGAAACATTCTACTGCAGGGCTCTCAACCGCTGAGGTAACACCGACTCCTGCCAGTGACCAGCACCTAGTTACTGCTGTTGGAAAAAACCACCTCTGTTTAATACAGAAGACCTTGTCCTGAAAAGACATACACAGGGCCTTGTTCTACAATCTCAGTTTCCAGTACATTTTATGCAAGTGAACAAAAATAAGTGTGGGCTATCTCTTGATCACACACTTGTTAGAGTTGATGGGGGTTTTTTGGATGGAAAAGGTCTTTCAGATTGTGATACAAAGCATGGGGAAAACAAAGTAGCAACAAAGTTTAATTTCATCTGAAATCCCCAACAATAATTTATCTATTAGGGAAGTAATCATTACCTTCCTAGGGCTTTATTTACTTCCACAGTAGAATGGCTGTCAGGCAAATAGATTTTTTTATTCTTTTAAGAAGTATCAGCAAAAATATTACTTGGCTAAAAACCTAGAAATATTTTACAGAATAATCTTTAAAACTACATTACTATTAATAATACTGAACATGTTTCCATGTTGCAAGTAGAAGACTTCTCAGAGGAATTAAGTTATTCCTCTACCCTCATGCAAATCAGCAGGTTAAAGTCTGACTGTGTTGCACGAGTCAAAATGCACCTTACATTTGGAAGCATGTACTTCACAATCATCAAGTTACACAAAGCCCATCCTGCCTACACTGGAGCATGTATTCCACCTTTGCATAAATTCATGATTTAGAATGCATTTCTCCCTAACTTCCTCAAAGGAAGTTCAAAGAACACTAAGGATTAAAAGGTACCATTGTTGATGGCTGGTTTGGCAGCAGTGCAGGCCTGTGATCCTTCATTCTTCCCCTATCATTATTGTCTCTCCTTTGTTCTCCCATTCCGTGGCACATAACGGAGCCTCCTCTTCGCCCTCCTCTCCTGGAGCCGTATCGTCCCTGTTTAAGCTGCCTTTCCCTCTCTTCAAACTCACGTAATGCTGCTTGGGCTTCTGCAGAAAGCTCTGTTAAGAGAGAAAGGGGGAAAAATATCTTAGCTTTGCATTGAAAGGAAGGAAAATACAATGAAAAGAACATTGCTAGAACTACAGAAGAATCCCTGCGCTAAGATCAAATTTGCAGGCACTTTGATCTCCTTTAGGTGGCATGTTAACATTTCATTAAAGACATCTTTAAAAGGAAAAATCACAGATACTTGTGTCTTTTGCACAGGCAAAAGGCAGCAGATAAACGAAACAAACATGAACAAAGAGGTTTGGTTGTTTTGTTTTTTAAGATGGTATTGAAATTTGCCTTCTGCTGTAAGAGATGGCTGAGGCTCCTTTAAAGTTTTATCTTAAGCATCTCACTTATCTGCAGAAATGTCAGGTAGGACAATGAAACCTCCATAAACTTTGCAGTAAAGGATCTGTTGAGCCTTACATATGAACAGATTTTATCCACCAAACTCTTCTGCACACTGGCCTGTTCCAAAGAACCACTTTCTGATGGCTGAAGTGAGTTTCCAGTATGCAACTAATTACTATTTATTTTATTGTATGTGGTTTAAGACTCAGCTGTACTTCAAGAGTGAGCATCAAATAAGATCTGTTCTCAGCTCAAGAAAAACACACTGCTGATAACACCCACCCAATTCACATCACAGATAAACACCAGAGAAAAGAGGGTACTCAACAAAGACTGATAAATTTCCTTGGACAATGTTGACAGAGTATTAAAACTATTCAGTAACAGACCCAGGTAATGAAATTACTTGAAAATGCAGAGAAAGTCTCCAACAGACTTCAGGAAACACACCATGGTAGTATGAGCAGTGCCACTCACCAAGTCTGAATCACCTTAATAGGATAATAAACTTAACCTCAAACATGCAGTTTCATCTTTTGCCATTCACCAGTCAGATCCCCTGTTACCTCTGATATTGACTTCTCCCTCTAACAAGACAAAATTAAACTACTCTAAAAGAAACATACTCCTGACAAATAAAAACATATTTTGAATTAATATAATATATACTTGGCACTACTACACACAGTGGCTGCAATATCTGAATATCAGAATAAAAATAATTTGTATCTGGCAGCTGAGACACTAACACTACATCTCCACACCACTAGATATACACCAAGAATATACAGCTAAGGCAATTAGAAAACTCTTACAGTTCCCTGCGAGTCTAAAAGCCAAAGCTACTTAAACCATCCCCTTAAACATCTTCATAAGTAATCTCCATTAGTCTTTGAAGTTGAGGATTGACAGAAGGGCAGAGAAGGGTGAGCACTGTGCATTCCCACTGCGGCAGTTGTTCTTACTTGGCTACAAAAACTACCTGCATGACTGAGCTGCAAAGACTGTAAATTTGCATGTCCCAGTTTCCAGAAGTATTCAGCACCTCCACAAAGCAGTGGCTTTTTAAAGGAAAAGTTCAGAACTTGCTGATGGCCTGTAAGAACACAGCAAATTTTACAGACTTTTAAAAGCTCAGGATCTGCCACAGAGTTTCCTATTTCATTTCTGCAGGTTGGTGACGAGACAAGTTTCTCTTTGTCCTTTCCTTTCCTCTCTGACACCACAATTAAATGGTATAAAGCCTTAGCAGACACTCTTATGAAATGCTACCTTTGACCTCGAGGAACATGCCTCAAGACATGAGCAGAGCCCAAGACAATCAGGCTTTATCAGGAAAATCTCACAAAATGCTTTAGAAAGAGGCAAGGAACCACAGTGCCTCAAGTCTTATTAGTATGGTATTATATGTGCACACTACGGATTTCTGAGCAAAATTAAAACAAATGTACTCTTGTCCAAAGCAATCAAAAGCATCAGATGCAACTAAAACAACCATTTTAGCCACCTCTGGCTGACAGGGATAAAAAAGCCAGTTCAGTGGGAAAAACAGGGCTCTGATTTCAAGCCTCCTCTCTCCACACATGCAGCAAGTTCTGTTTCTTCAGAGGTCTACAAGCATGAAAGATTAGATGTGGGCTTTGACTTGGTCTGCCAGAAAGATGGATCATTAGTTCCATATACTTATGGGGAAAAATAGTGTCACTATGTTGCAAAGAAATAACACTCCTCCCTTTAAATTCTGCAGTGCACACTGGGCGCGCTGCTAGTTGGACAATTGGTTTTTTAACCCAAGAATAGGACAGGCAGGACAATTTCTCTGCCATCTTCCATACCAGAACCCTGAACTCAGCAAGGCTGTAGTCTAGAAAAAAAAAGTTCAGTCACTTCCACAAGTACCTACCACTGATAGTCATATAAGATGGTAAGAAGCAACTTCCTGTTATACAGAAGTCACATGTGAGGAAAGCAACTTTTAATGAACCTGGAAATAAAGCTAGATTTCCTAAAAGGCAAGATTATGCCTGAGTCTTTCAGCCTCTTGAGTACATATTGAAGAACACTGAACAGAAACAACTTCAGAAGAAAGAACGGGCTGCTCCAAACAAAATTACTTCAGAGCACTGTGCTGATTAACCTTAGGGAAGGGATGACAGCATCCACACAAAGATCTTTGATGTGCTTTTCACTCTCTTTAAAATGAACAAATCGTTTTCCTCCTCACTTTACACAAAATTTCTCAAGGTTTAAAGGCCATGTCCTTAAAGGCACAGTTCATGTGTTCAGTTTTTCAGCCAAGGAAGTGAACGTGTGTAACACCAACCTTAGAAAAAACATCCCACCATCCCAGGAATTCACTGCAGCAAACATCATTACATTCATACCACATCTATGACCACAGAAGTATAATATAACCATCTGATTTTTAAAAAAGATTATATCAGCATCAAACACACTTCCCTCACAGCATGCCATTAAGGCAACAGTGTCCTACAATTTTGCTTAGACACAATAGTGCAGGTTCAGAACACAGAAACAGACTGCAAAAGTCAACAATCATGCCATGAACACCTCCAGTGCTGTATACAGATATACAACAGCACACAGAAAAATACAGTCAGCTCAATTATTAGCTGGGCTGCATGTTGCATTTGAGAGCACTGTGCCACAAATACAGAGATCAAGGAGAGGAGACAACATGGAAGATGGTTTTGCAGGGAGGAAGCAAGAAAAACAGTGCCTGTCTTCCCTGAAAGCAAGATCACACTGCTAACCTTGAAATGAGTTGACAAGCAGAGGAAGAAGAGATTGGCTTTCCCTACAGGGCTTCTCCCTGGCTAAGAACTTGTGCATGTTGTGGCCAAAGCAGTCCAGGCTCAGCTGGCTGGCACCATCCAGCACTGCACGCAGTGTGTGCAGGCTGGGGCAGCCCTCGCTCCTGCCTACACCAACCCTCAGCACACAGCTCTGCAGCTACTTCTGCCTCACCATGCTCCCCCCAGAGCAACAGCACAGCAAAGCCACAGCTTTGAAAATCCCAGAATCCATATTATCCTGGGTAATGCAGAGATTTTCAAATATATATATTCATTTACATATATATGCAGCATGTTGTAACTTTTTTTCTCCTCATCATCCAGATCTGCAAATTGACTACACTCTGTACTTCTGCAACAGGACAAGAGTGAAACCACTCGGTTTAATTTCCTAGTCATGCCTGAAATCTCAGCCACTAGTCATCAGAGTGAACATAAGCCAGCTAAGCAGGGCATAACAAAAAGTACTGCCACATCCAATTAACCTTTGTTAGCATTTTGCAAATGGTTCTGAATAAGTGTAAGGGTTTGGTTTGATTTTTTCTTAAATTAGATACAGAGGAAATACTTTAGTTTGGTGATACCAAAGACATTTTTTCTCTTTACATTCCTTAACAGGTAACTAAATCCAGAGAATAATGGCAATTTCCACTCTGGGAAGAGTTCAACTACATGCACTGAAAGAAGTTACTTATGTCTTATCAAAGATGACAAACTTGGTATCACTAGAAATCAACTGCACAGCTGTCCTACAATACCTCTCCTTCGGACTTTGCAAAACCACCATTTACATTACCTTGCATACAGAAATGTTTAGGAAAGATCTCAGCTACATTCATGAGAACACTTTATATTTTTACATCTTTTTTACCAGTACACACTTAGTCTCATCTTGACTGTACCATTCTAACACACACAGTTAATGCAGTGAATCAGCAATTATTTTTCTAGTGTCTCTAAGTGTCAAGATTAATTTCACTATCGCTGGTAATAAAATGGTTTCAAATGACATCTTTAATCAGTAAGTAAGAATGCACTCCTCGAATAGAGACAAGCTGTCACAAAAGGTCACCAAAATGTGACAGGATGGAAATTACGTTTGTAACTTCAACTGAAATGTTAATTCCTCTTTAGGTATTTTCTGAACTATGTTCATATTTTGAAGTAAGGAGATGTAGGTCTGCAATGAAATTTCATTTTTAAACTACAGCATCTGTAAAAATTTGCTCTATAATCTCAAAAGGAAGTAGATATTTATATGCAAACGAGACTCTTTTGCGGTTTAACTTTCTACCACATGGTCAATCATCTGGTCTCTTTATCAACAAATTAACAAGAAAAGCTGGTATGAATAGAAACCATTTCAGAACAGTAAGATTGTATTTTTGCCAAATACCACTTTCAGAAAAACCTCCTTAAAGAATAATCCACCTTTGCTTCATCTCTTCCTTGTATCTCAGAGCTACACCCCAAATCACTTAAAATTACATTTAAAAATAAGTCTAATTCAAACCACTTTTCTTTTAACCTGTAGTGGAGCTTGACTGTTTTCTCCTCACCGTCTGGTCCTTTCATATTAAACTAAAGAATAAATCCACAGATACACAAATGCCCATGCAATTGTCATTTACCTTGCAATTATGTGCAGAAATTTAGTTATTCTAGAGCACCCTTGCTTTTACAATACTCTGTTTTGTAAAGCCACCAGCACCTTTTGTATAAAAAAGATGTGGTCTGTATGTGGTACGTAAACACACAGTCTTATGCTTGTAAACATATTTGGAATGCACCTCAGCTAAAATAACCCTTGCCCATTTAGACCACTCTGTGCCTCTAGAGGGTTCCCTTCAGTCTGATTCTAATCAGAATCAATTCCTGATTGTTAAAACAATGCTGAATAAAGGCCCTAATACATGCTTTGCCTGACACTGCATGTAAAAGCAGCTCTTTGCTAAATATGAACAACAGAAGAGAAACACCTTTGATTCAAAATCAAGCACTGACATCTCTCACAGCATGACACAGAACACCACTGTGAAGGTCTAGTAGCTGATCCTTTGCTGCTCGTGAACAAGTCCTCTTAGCCCCAACACCTCTTTACAGAATTAAGCCTTCTCCATTTCTGCAGGCATACTAAATGCCCAAATTCCTTGCAATCAGATTAAATTAGCAGGTTATTACAATTCACCAGAAAAATGCTTAGAACTCGCATCCTTTGCAAAGTAAAGCTTTTAAGATAAGAGGAAATTTTCATCAGGATGAGTTCTAGTACTCTTGTATTTGCTCTGGGAATGTAATCCCAAAATGCCCTGTTGTCCAAAGACACCGACTCATCTGTAAAGAAAGCAGAAGCACCCAGCTTCTGAGTTCAGGCTGCAGGGCACCCTCTTACAGGATTCTGTGTGAAGAATCCATCCCCACAGTCTGCCAAAACTTGAAAGTATCATAACACACATCTTTTCCCAGTTGTATCTGACAATTAGCCAACAGTATCTGACAATTTGCCTTCATTACCAGTTCACCTCTCTTGCATATCTTGATTCTCTTCAAAAGATCAGAGCTTTTTTTCTAGAATAGGACACCTTTCTGGAGGAAAAGTTTAATTTCTGCCCATCTTCCTAATACCTTAATTTTAATTTTACTTACTATTTATTATTATTGCCACCACTGTAAGGCCAACATGAAGAGGTTATCCCCAGTGGGGCAGGCACAACACCCATATCGTACACCTGAAAACCCAGGGCACATGACAGGTCTTGAGTTAACTCTCAAAGCCATAAACCAATATGATTTTATTTACAGACTAAAACAGAGCAACTGCAAGAAAGTTTCAAATCTACTGATTCTTCTGAAGCAGCAGTGGCAAATTCATTAGATACATTGAGCAGTGTTCCTAGAAACAAACACCCTCACATGTTTTGTTGCTCAAATACAAAGAAATTATACCCTTTTAGACACTGCCTAAAGGATTAAGGGGCTTTAAGAGATCCAGATTGTTTCATGTTAGAAAAGCTGAATCCAGAAAAAAAGGGTTTCTGTGATTTCTAACACACTCCCCAACTAGTTACATTTTCTCTAGGCCAATCCAAGAGTAGGAATACAACAGGTTCAGAGCATGCTTATACTCCTGGGGGAAAACAGCAAACATGTAGGTATTTCACAGCAGAACACAAGTAAGATTTATCAGCTGAAAATCACCCAAAGAAATTCCTTAAAATGTATTCCAGCAGAATACGAAGCAAAGCACAGATCAGAGAGCTGCTGCTTGAATACAGGAAAGCTTTTCAAGACACCACAGAAGTCCCAGTGAACAAATATAATGACGATTTTCAAAACACGGTATGTTTAAGCATTATTCCCAAGGAGACAGACACCCCACATACTACAAGACACCCCACACGACTTTGGACAATTTGGATATAAGCCAGTCTAAGTTAGAAGGTGACTGTTCTACTTTTGCCATTAAACTCTTTTGGAAGAGCTTTGGCAAGCCTGTCTTTTACTTTCATTCATTATAGCTCTGCAAAACGGTCCATTGCCACAAAACCTCACCCAAAGTTTCTGGAATGTTTCTCCTTTCTCTTGTCACATCTGAGAGCCTAATTATTGTTCCTTCTTTCCGTTCAGTTTTGAAACGTAATCGTCCGGACTCTTCATCATCATCCTCCTCTTCATCAGATTCTTCTTTTGTTTCTTCTTGAAGTTCCAGAGATCCAATAGCTGCCTAAATCACAAAATACAGAGGACATGCAGCATGAAGAATCTGTTTTCTTGTGATCAGTGTCAAAAGACAAAGGTTTTTTTAAAAGCCCCTTTGTACAAATTTTGCTGGCATTACACTTTGTGCTCATGTGTAATTCAGTGAACATTTAAGAGCCTGGGGAATTGTTTTAAAATATATGAACTATAGAATACATTATAAAGTAAAATCTCTTTAGAAAATACATCTTGCTGCAACATTTCAGGGATATTGAAACTCCTCCACCTGATTTAGCAACTACTTCTTCACATTTTAGCACTAAATTCACTAAGATGCAAACCTGGGATACTGCCAGTTTCAAGTAATTCAAACAGTAAATCATCAGGGTCTTTTTTTTTTCTTCATTTATTCAACAAGCATCAGTAGCATGTTTTTAAAAAAACCCACCAATAAAAACCAGATAATCAGGCATCTCAATCTTATTCCTCTAGGTATGCATAACTGTACTTGTCCTTACTTTTTCTATTCTTTGAATATTTCCTAGTTTTAATTCACCAGCTGATGAAGACAATGGAGAACAGTACTGGATAAAATTCAAAAATACTAAATTTGTATTCTGGAACGCTACTCCCTTGTCATCATTTACTTTCCAGTTTTCTCTACAACAGAGAACATTTATTTAGATAATGTCCCAAATGAAAATGGATCCCTCTCCTTCAAATTAATAGGGAAAAAAAAATCCATTTTGTTTTCCTGTGCTGGCCTGATGAAAATAATGTTTCAGAATGTTACACAAGTTATATTTGATGTCAGCAGTTGAAAATTAGAAGGGTTCTAATATGGTACAATTTTCCATAAAATTTTTTGGTTACTGTGTATTTGGTTATTTCTTGTACTAGCACACTTACTCATTTCTTAGAATTAAAATGCATATGCAGGCTCTTATGCAAAGACACTAAATACATCATAACTTTTATGCTGCTTGAGGACCAGTTACTAAATGAGCAAAATCTACCATGCAAAAGTGGTTTAAACTTCTAATTAACTAGATCAGTGCAGAAATTTATATGATAAAGGTGCAGCAAGTGTGACAGTCAGGTGGATACATATCAACTCATAGATCAAGAAAAAGAATTAATGGAATTAGTTGTGCAAGAGATTGCAGATTTCCTTATCCAGCAGCCCAACTTCATCCATAACCAAAAAAAAACGTGGGAAGAAAGATCAGAAACAGGATGATCCGGCAAGACACTTACTGCTTTAAAAGACAGCACACCTTACAAACCCCAGCTCAAAGCTACTATAACTCTGGTCTAGAGAATAAATGATCTGTGTACTTAGTTCCTGGGCTTTAATGGACTCCTGATCCCAAGTTATTTTCATTTTATCATACCCTTATCTCAAAATGTTTTTTATCCATCCCAGGTAAACATTCAAGCACTATGCTTTCTGACCTCACAAAAATGCTTTAAGATATAGCTAAGGGAGCAGTCAAAGTTTACAAAAAAAATGAAAGGCTTATACTTCACAAATGTATTTGTTTTTATGTAACAACTTTATTAAAAAAAAAAAAAAAAGGCTACAACCAGACAGAATAGCAGACAAAAAGCCCCAAAGCTTCAAGAGTGAAAGAGATATAAACCTCCAAAGCAAACCCAAATTGAGCACAATTGGTCTGATTAACATATGTATGTATAATCCAAACACCTCTGAGGACAGGCCATGGAGACTCATGGAACAGAAGGATGTTAGCAAGGAAAGAGATGCTAAGGAGGTTTAATAAAAACAAACAAAAGGGAAAGGCAGAGTTAGCATTTTACTTTCATAAGAGAGACTCTCAGAAGGAAAGGAATAGCAATATCTCTATTACATCTATGTTTGTAAGTATCACAAACCCCATAATTTTACTGTATCAATGCTTGTTTTCAGAAACTTTCCCTTCAAGATCAGGATTTGGATGCCAGAACTGGAGCAGCTGTTTTGCAAGACACTGATCTCACTACACTGAGCCTTCCTGCTTTACTTTAGAGCATAAACCTCAGACATCCACACTCTATGTCCATGCCCATTAAAAGCTCTATTGGAATTCCAGTTTTTGTGTTCATCAAAGAGTGGTCTCAGTCATGCAATCTCAACTGTGAGTGCAAAACTTACTCGTGCAAGCTCTACGTGTAGCTCAGACTTCAGAATCAGCACTAGAAAGGTTAATGCAGTCTCTGCTATCCTGAAAAGTTCTGCTATGTTTTAATGAAATGCTATAGAAAATACCTGTGGAAACTACTGTCTTTTGACAACTACTCATTCTGGGGAAAAAAAGATACATTCCAAAAAGAAAAGAACACAAGTTGTAACTACTTACCTATACAAAAATAAAACACATTTCTTAAACTTTTCTAGACTAGCACTATTCTGTTTCTAGCCACTTATACCAATTCTGTAGCCTTCTGGGTCTGACTCACTTTATTCATCAGCATAATCTCATGCTATTAACAAACAACAGCCCTACAAGCATTAAATATCAAGGACAAAAAAAATAAATAAAATCAAAGAACTGGATGAAAAAGAAGGCACCAAGGAAAGGCAGTGCTGGAGAATGCTAACTGACCCATGTCCAAGTCTGATTACACTTGTTATTGGGGGATATGTATTAGCTGCAATGGAGACACAAACATGTGTGACAGCCAACCATATGTTCTCTCCATACAGCTCCAGGAGGGGTTAGCTGAGCTGTGTAGGAGCACACACCCTTCCCCTGCAATTTGTTCAACAGTTGGAGCATGCAAGACTTCTAGATGAGCTTTTCCAATTTCCAGCCAAACAGGACGAGCTGTTTTGCCAAGACTGCAGTATATGAATGGATTCTACATTTCAAAAAGACACAACTGCAGACACAGAATTAAGACACACTAGTACTTACAGGACTGCTTTTAATACCTGCTAATCATGAATATCATGATTACATATACATAAACAGCCCCTGAATGGCCACTTGAGGTCACCTGACTGGAATTGCCAGCCAAGGCTTCTGGCAGCTCTCCTCAAAGGGAGCTTTACATTTCCCACTTTGACACCTTGCACAAAGCCACCAAAGAGCATTGCTGACCCTTACAAAGAAAAAGAATGACCTTTCTTCTACCACAAGGTCAGAGGTTCCTGCCATCTCATTAAATAATTATGCCATAAAGCCCAGCCATTGACCAGAACTCCTCACGCTGGGCTATGATCCACTATGGAGAAGGAGTAAGTGCTCCTGAGCTCAGACAGCTCACCAGGCACCTGCAGGAGTGGGAGAAGACACAGCCCAAGGAACGCAGGAGAAAACACTGCTCAGCATGATCCTCCCAAACATGGGATTGTAAAGTGTTCTGGACAGCTTTGTGCCAGAGATTGATAAAATGTTGTAAAGGCTAAACCAGAAACATTACAAAGGTGAAACAAAGAACTTTTATGAACTAGCCAGAAAATAGGCAGTGAAGGCATCTACTAGAGGCTAACACTGAAGCAGCAGCAATTGCTCAGTCCTAGGAGATCAAGAGATAAGAGGGTAGATAAGGGGATGTAACACCTATTCCAAGGGCACCTCAACTCCACAGATGAAAAATGGGACTAAAATAATAAACCTAAGTGCCTTTAAATATGTTTTAAAATTGGATGTTTTGATTTGCACTCTTTTCATCATTTTCCTCCAGGCTGACAAGTAGCGTCTTCAAACTTGAACAAAAGTACTAAAATGCAGAAGTTTTGGCTAAACACAGATGGAACAAATTCACACAGATGCACTGGTCTATTTTTCCCAAGCCTGTATTCTATCAAAAGAAAAGTAGTATGTAGGACATTTTCATGAAATGTTTTCTTGATTAAAGTCCTTTACATTTCTTATCAGCATAACCCAAGACATGGTTGAAATTTATGCAGTGACAAATCCCCTACCATACACTTCACAGATTATTTCTGATATAAAACAAAGAAATCATGAATTCTAATTTCAGGAGGTTTTATTTTTATTTCATTTTCACATTCACATTATCACAGAAGTAATTAGTGGTATTTTTCCTCTAAAAATATTTAGGGCATGATGCCTCATGTGACTGTTCTACCACACCTATTTGCTGTTGAAATTTCTGGGTACTGAGTGGTTTTGCTTCGTACCTTAGGAAGACAAAAATATTTTCTGAACCACTGCTACATTTTTCAAGGAAGCTCCACAGAGAATGTTATTTATTTAAAATCCAAAGTTCTAAGCACTGTTTCAAGCACAAGCTTTACCTGCCTTTTCCTCACATCTCCCACTCCTAACAGGTGTCTCAATTCCCACATTCACTTGTTTCCTCCCATCATGTTCCGACTCCCCATCCAGTCAGCTTTTCTGCTGGTTTACAAAATTTCTTCATGCAATATAATAAGAAGCTTTATTTGGTTTTAATATGGAAACTACATAAAATACAAGACCAAACACTATTCTCCTTCAGCTCGCTCTCAGTTGTTCACATGCCAAATTTCAACCAAGAGATATTAATGCTATTTCTTTGCATCCATTACAGCTTCATTGTTGTGCTGCGTTTTCTACAGGAGAATGCCAACTTTACCCTTGTTTACAAATTGAGATTTAAGGGAGAGTACTGTTATATAACACTCTAATAAAAGAACACTCTTCAGAGCTGGAGGTGGCACCTAACCTTGCAATAATAAGAATTGGATACTCTACAAAGGTTCTCTCCCTTCTCATTTAGAGAGTGCAATTATAAGCCTACTGCCAAATGTAAATAAGCTACATATGAAATAAGAACAGAATAAAAAGATGGTACTATTTTGGAAAGAAGAAACCTGTGGCAATCTCTAAACCATTACAATAATGCCAGAATGTAGTAGTAACCAAATAAAGATATGGCCAAAACATTCACATTATGTGATGAACAAATTCTGTAAAAGCTCTATTAAGAAAAAGAATTAAAAACTTTCATTAATGGTACCTTTTGAATTAAAGGAATTTAATTCTGAATTGGATGAGTGTAGACAACATCATTATTACAGAATTCTCAGTAGTTTGAACTCTAAAAATGAAGCTGTACTTTTTTAAGGCCGTAAGTTTGACAGTGAATCTCAGCCATGTACTTAATTTTACATGATGTGCATTGTGTCCATCATCTCAGACTGCGGTTGCAGAGAGCCCAAATGCATCACTCCACTTCAAAATGACAAAAAGAAGGTGCATATAATCCAGTGAATGAACAAAACATGTTTAGACATTACACAATTCTTTCAAAGAGTAGATTTAATACTTCTGAAGTAGGAAATAACTACATTAAGGTTTATTTGGTACTAGATGTCATGCTTGCAACAGTGGAGAACTGAACAATGCAGGTGGCCCCTTTCAATGCAGATCTCTACCTATCAAGAAATGTTGTTTTACTAAAATAGATTTGATACAACTAGAGCATCACAGCACACCCACTTGTAAGAACTTCATAGAGTAACACTGCTGTGTCTTTGAGGAATTAATTTCCTGATGAGTTAAAGCTCCAAAGAGGAAACACACTCTGACTACACTTCTCAGCAGGTAATCCATTCAATCCTATTTAATTAAGAACTGGAATAAAAGTAATATTAAAGCAGATTCCTGCTGGGGAAAAGAAAAAAATCCCCCATCAAAAACTTGCTGCAAATTAAAAACAGGTATGATTCCTCTGTTCTGGGCTATAATCAGTGAATGTATACTTGGCAGTCTTTGGCATAAGCTTTCTCCTTGCAAATGAAAGAACTCATTCTTTTTCCTAAGTGAAGAAGTAAAATAAACTTCACAGGAACTTCAGTCCCAACACAACTTTCGAAACAACAATCTAACCTTTGCCCTTCTAAAACACAGAATTTTCCATGCCCACACTCATCCTCAAAGAGGGATACCCAAGAACTGTATTTACACTCCCAACAGCCCAAATGATCCACCTGGAAAGTGAGGCATCGCAGCTATTAGAGATTTAACAGACAGCATGCAGTGTTCCTGTCATTCTCCTACCCAAACAGACCTCTGAAGTTACTAATGTTGAAGCCAAGATTAAATATGCACATTTTGGCCTCTTCTTTATGGTTTTCATCCTAAGGGAGAGAGGGCATCTGATGTATCTGACAATATAGATGTTATCACAATCCATCTTATACAAAGAGTAGTAAGACCAATAATTTAACACTGGCAAAGTGCATCAGTTCTTATGCTGTAACAGGTACAATTCTTTGAAATCAATCTCTAAAAGAACTAGTTAAGTTTCCATTAAATTCACAACATACCTCTTCTGATTCATTTGCCATTGTCTGGGATTCTTCCAGCTCCTCTTCAGCTGTATATTCTTCTTGTTCTTCCATTCCTTGCTCATTATATGATTGCATGTAATCTTCATCCTAAAGTAATAACACATGAAGGTGAAAAGGCACAGGCAAACTGCACAGAATTGCAGACCTGGGAAGAGGTGGGGTCTGGCTGTGTTGTTACAGCTTCCAGACTGGAAGAGAAGTATTGTCTCTATGAGAACTGTCAATTATAAGTGGAATGACATAAATATAGCATAATTAGCAGAGTTTTTAACTAGACCATAATTGCAACATCATCAAAACCAAAGCAGTTTTCACTCAGATACCAATGTCATAATAAAGATCCCATCTAATAGTGTTTGCCCCAACTTCTTCTATACCTCTACATCCCCCATTTACAAATTCATGAAGCAAACACTGCAGTATTTTCTTACCAAAGGAAACATGCATCTATAGTACATATTCATTAACATCAGATTTTACCCCATCAGCATATAAACATTCTTAAAACATTCTGCAAGTGCTTATATATGAGCAGGTTCAACTCTGAAAAATTATAAACATAAAACAAGAGCAAAAGCTTTCCTAAGTAACTTTGCTTGTATTTTAAAACACCTCACTGATCACATACAGTTTTAATTAAGATTAAATCACTTCACTAGCAATTAAAGCCAGTGCATGTTCTCTAATACGCTGCTTAAATTATATTGAATTATGCAGGTGACATTTTCTGAACTAACCTCCAATCTCTTTATTCAGGTTTAGACAGTTCTCAGTTACAAAAAGGATGAACGAGCAGGACATCAATCACTTTGGGATATTAGCACCTTAAAGATGTCTTTAGCAGGTCAATAATCTTTTCACCTTCGAAGGACTTTATCAGATCTTGTCTAAAGCCTGGATAAAAGCTTTTGCATTAAGTACTTCTAACAATTGGCAGTGTATCTCCACCACACAAAGCTGTTTTCTTCCTTAAGGATACAATCCTCAAGGTCATGATTCTCAACTGCCTTCCTGCATGACAAAGGAGCATCACCTACCGCCAAACAAGCTGTCAACACAAACTTTGTCACAGCCTAGATAAAGAAACTGGCAGACAGTGATAATAGGTCTAATTTACCCTCCTCCCTAGGGAGGTAAACAGATTTTAAATCAGTCTAAAACCCTATGCACGCAAAGCAATGTTATCTTTGAAGATACAATAGAAAGAAACTCACTGGAAATTCATCAAGGGGTTCATTGATTTCAAGGTCTAGCACTTCATCTTCTTCTCCAGGCTCTTCCCCATATTCTATTTGGTCTTCTGTCAGTTCAGGATCATTGCCTTCATAATGTCCCTCCTCTGCATACTCTGAAGCATATTCTTCAGGTGCTTCAGATTTGTCATAACCAATTTCATCTTCCCCTTGGTCATACTCATGTTCTAGTGATGGATCATTGATGGACTCGTATGATGCCAGCATGCCAGATGTGGCATTGAGGCTCACTGTGACACCTGGAGAGCTGTGGGATAGGGGGAATTCAGAGGCTGGAGCGTAACAGTCAACTATTCACAAAGATTTAGCAAAACAAAGCCAATAAACATAAATTCTCTAAGTTGGTGGACAGAATTATACCCCACACATTGTTTGACTGCATGCCATGTTCTCATCATGCATACTGTACTGCAGCTTATCACCAGCTGCAGGCTATTTGACCAGGGGAATCAAACGAACCAGATGGTTTAGCAGGTCAAACTGGCAAAAGTCCTGCTTGGTAACCAAAGCAGACTCGATTCAATTTTAATTCCAAGACTAACAAAAAATACATAAAATTGCTATAACTGCATCTGTTTTCACAATCTTCCAGAATACTCTAGTACAATATTTGTTAATAAATGTATTCATGTTGTTCATTCTTGATTATCTTGAATTCAAAGTTATATTTTTATGACAGATTTAATGTTTTACTTTATATAAGATACACAGTCAGTAACTGTAATTTAAATGCCTGAGACATTCTTAACTTAGTAACAGCACTGGCACAGATACTGAAAAAAACAATCAATACAAAAAATGACAAGATTATAATCTGCAGGCAAAGCAAAGCTCAGAATTTACTTTTTACAACAGCTAGTGCCATCAACACATAAAAAAGCAACTAACCAACTGCAGACAAGTTAGAAAAGCAGAGCGGGGGAAGCTCTTGATTTGACAGCTCAGGGTACAATGAAAACAAAGATATTTGGTTGTGGTTTGTTTTGGGTTTTTTTTTTACAGTCTTATTATTCACCATTTTCCTACATTTGGGAGAAAAAGATCCAGGCAGTTCTGAGCTATTTGCATCTATAAGACAGGGAAGATTTAACACAAAAATGAAGACATTATGCAGGATTATCATTATCCTCCCAACTATAAAAGCATGAGGTTGAATGGAAATAGAAGAAGAAGGGAAAAGCTCTCACTCTCTGCCAATATAAAACTGCTAAAAATGCAAAACTTGTCTGCAGAAACCTGCTCCCACTGAGCAATATTATCACACTTCAGATACTTTCTTATCACTCATGTGGTTACATGCTGCCCAGGGGTCTTGGGGAGGATATACAGTGAAGAAACAGCAAAGACCAACTGGGATTCCCCCTTTTGAAGGGAACAGTCCAACCCTCATTCCTGCACGAAGGAAAACAGCAGCCAATGGATAGCTGGATGGTTGGACCATTTTATCATAGCATCATCAGTCCAACACTTCGACAGGACTCCTAATGCTAATTAGGGGTAAACACAGGAGATCTCTGAGATACAGATATATCCACACGTTATATATACACTCATACCCCTTCAGATGTCATGCCCTGCACAGCATGCAACAAGTAAAGGAAAAGCTGGAAAAACACAGAGGCCATTAAAAGCAGCAGTGGTATTGCATCACTTTGGCATCACAAGCATCTTCCCCAATGCTTCAGTCCAGCTTGAGAAGTAAAAATGACAAGACACTCATTTTGAGTTGTGATGCCCGTAATTCAGCTGTGGAGCTGTATCACCACAGAGCATTCACAGGGCAGGATCCTCAGGGAACTCCCATGGAAGTACCTGCTCCAGCCTGTAAACCCTGTTACAAATCTTCTGCTGTGTAATTGTACACAAACAGTTAAGCCACAAATCAAGCCTTGCAAAGTGTGCAATTCCCCTCCTCAGGGTCTTAGGAGGTAAGCTATTTTTAAAAGAAAGATGGCAGAAAAGGACTTCACAGGAGAAGAAAGCTTACAGCAATACTGAGGCTGCAAAGAACTAAGCTCTGTGTTTATAATTAATTCTATATGGATGGGAGATGACATCATTTCTTCTTATGAGCTTTTTATAAATTTTTGAGATTGAAATAATCAAAAATAATGTTACTGATATGCTAATAATGCCACTGAGTACATTATATATACATCACTAAGTAAGTGGTTAAATAAAACTTGAAACTATTCTAAGCATATAACAATAACTTTAGTCTAGTAGTTATCAATCATCAGTAGCAGTAGCCATTAATAGCTTTGAGTTATCCAAACCAAGATTTAGGAAAGAAATACCGAAATTCTTGTTCCTCTTCATTGTCACTTTGCAGAAGATCGTCATTCAGCTCTTCATCTGACAAGTCTGACTGATTCTAGGTTTCAGAAAAAGTCAACCGTGAACATAAAAGATATAAACTTTTAACTAATTAGATACTGAAACTACTGACACTTCTGAACACTAATTATTTTTTTATGAAAAAAACATCTCAGACTAAGACCATACCTTCAAGGAAATTACCTAATTTGATGAGAAAAAAACCCACACAAAACAATAAATCTTAAAATACATCTTTGATAGTCAAATGGAAATTTACAGAACTCAAATTTGCCTATCTATCAACATTTTTCACTGATCCATTCTCAAACACAGCCAAAGATGACAACTCACTTAAGACCAGGAAGGAAGAAAGGTTAAGCTCTAGTTCATGGCCTTGTGACCCTGATGCATTAGGCAAGTCAAGAAAATGCATGAAATTACCGTAAATTCTAGAGAGCAAAGATACAGACTGGAGAAAAGGATATAACGTTGTTTTTTGTGGTATTGGGGTTTTTTTGGGGGGTTTTTTGGGGAGGAGGTTGGTGTTTGCTTTTTTTAATAAATACCCACTTAGAAGAGAGAACTGCAGATTTGCTAACCAACATTTCCAAGCCCTCAAGTAAGAGGCAGAAAGGTTATACAAAGGTAATTTATCTACAAATACAGAGATGAGATTAAGTAGAAGGAAGTTTAGTATAAATAGCTGAGGGAAAATTTTCTGAGAAATCTATTTTTACCCCACCATATGTGTCCATACCCACAGATATTGCCCTCTAACATTGCAAATTGAAAAGAATAGAAAAAGAACAAGAAAAAAATAATACTTTGGAGAATCTAGTATTGGTTAGTATTCACATAGATAATTTCATATTTTTTAACATAAGCAAGCAGCTTTATCAACTTGTATTCCAACTACAAAGATATATACAATGTTAACTTTGTTTATTATGTTTTTGATAATTGCATAACACACATCTGCAATCCCTATACTCCTGGAATTTTATTTTCTTTCTTAAACCAGTACATGAGACTAAGGAACTTCCTATCTTTAATAGGGAATACTTACAGAATAGTTTCAAGCAGCTTATTTGCAACATATAGAGTGTGGTTATGGAAAACTACATCAAATGAAACTCAACTCTTAATATATCTGGGTTTCTTAACCAATCTATTAATCTCCAACTAAATCCTTAAAAAATTACTTTATAAATGAGTTCATTTAGCAGATAAAATACAAATAGAGGTGACTAGCCAGTTTGATTTCTCAAACAGGAATCCTGTCTTCTCCTGCAGATATGTGGCAAACCCAAACATACATTTAGTTCTTTTCACAGAGTGCAGCTTTGGAAATGGTTATCACCGTGAGGAGTCTACAGCAGACATGGTGAGAACTTGTTTATGTTCTCCAGTTCCAGCTGCTCCCATGGTTTTCCCCCCTCACTGTAAAACGGAAAATCCTCCACCTACTCCTCAGACAACGCAGTAGCAGATTGTGCACACTGAGGGTGATCTTTAACAGACATCACTGATTTCTTTTTTATTTACTCTCTGGTAAATACTGGTGGTATTTTGAAAAGTTATTTTTAATAACCAGGAAATCAGCACTTGAATTAAATTCTCCAGCATGCTAATCAGCACTCAGGAGGCCTAATTTTTTTGTTTGTTTTGCCTTTTCTTTTTAATTGTTAAGTCAATATGAGCTACAGAGATTCTCATTTTGAGAATCATCTCCTTTTTGAACTGTGTGTTATGAGAAGAAATACTATCTCAGAAAAAAAAAGTTTTCCTAAAAGTTGTATTTTAAAAAGACCTGGAGGTTTTTCACAAAAGGAAACACAACCCTGGGTGCACAGAGCTCTGGCAATAGTGCAGAGCTCAGGTACCTGTGGCTGTCATGCTCTGGGGAGGTGACCATAAAACACCTAAGTGGTTAAGTTGAACAACATTCACATTTTAATATCTGCAAACATTCACTTTAAAGCACATTTCTTACCTTTTTTCCAGTTAGCAAGTCCTCTCCAAGCAAATCATCATCAAGTTCACTGGAAAATAGTAAAAAACTTAAGAAGCTGAACCTTAGAAAACAGAAACAAACACCTTATAGGGTACATGCCTTAAAAAACTGACTTGAGGAGAATTGCCACCAAGTCTGCACAAACCCTTCCTTTTAGCAAAGCATTCAAGAAAAAGAGATACCTATTTTCAGTGCAACAACAGACCATACATATTGTGTGCTGTTGCACATTCATTTCATTTCCATGTGTTCTCCTTTCCATTTCTCTACAATTAAACAGAGCACAATAATCCAGTAAAAATACAGGCACAGCCAGCCAAAACACAGATAGCCAGGCCCCCATTCTAGATCCTACACTTCAAGGCCATTTTGCTCAAACTGCTGATTTCCAGCTCCCCAGGGAGGAACCAAGACAGGGAGGCCAGCTGGTTTGGGAGCCTGGATCTTCCCTAAAGGTCAGGCTTAGGCCTAGATTTTCTCTAAATATTTTACTCCCTCCTCCTCAAGTTGAGGGTAAGGTCAGATACCTGTAGGGTGACAAAATGAAGTGCATGTTTCACCACTTTTATAATTGTGCCCAAGAATTCAGGAAGCACAGAAATACCTGGCTTACAAAACTCCTGCCACCACATAGCAACTGTCCCACAAATAAGATTCAACACAAAGAACTACACTCTAGATTAGTTAAATTTTAGAACAATTGATTAATCTCATTCTTCTTCCTTCAATGAAAGAATTATCTAGTGGCAGGATAAACAGACTCCTCTGTTCTATAATAAACAGTTGTTACTGACAATAGAACACGCATGCCAATACTTAAATAATACCAGTGCACTGAAATATGAGTTGTAATTTGTAATTTCTACCTGCATACCTTAAAAAAAACCAAAACAAACAAACAAACAAAAAAAACCAAAACCAAACCAACAAAACCACCATGCCTTAGATACTGCATAAGAACAAAATTCTCCGAAGTGAGAATGTGCTACATGAGCAGAACAGGAATTTCTGTAGGAGTTCCTTAGGACTACACAGTAAATACTCGAAAATGGGGAGGCAGTTCTAAGACATAAATCCCTGCTAAGAGTTGCTTTTGCAGATGGATATGTCTCTTTCAGAGCTGATTACTGTACAGATAACATGGGGGTGGGAAGGAGGAATAAAAATTTGTGGGCTAGGAAAGAACAGATGATATGCCAAATGAGCCTTAAATAGGACATTATTACCAGTGCACAGAATTTATCCATGGTTACTGATCTCAAATATTTCCAGGAATGACTGAACATAAACAAATAGCAATTTTTTTATGCTCACAGTAATATTTAACAAAAATTAGGACATAAGATATATGACACATTCCGAAGAGTCAACTGACTAGAATTTAAGCCCTTTATTTCAGAGACAGGAAACTCTACCTTACAGAAACGGTTGCAGAAGCATTTTCTGCTTCAATTTTGTCTCTAAAAATCGCTAATCTCTTCAGCTGCCAGTAACCTGACAAATGCACCAAAGGGTTTGAAAATCTTTCCCAGCACTATGGTCCACCACTGACAGCTTTTAATAAAACTGCACTAGAGAAATTGCAAAGAATGGCAACAGTGTGTGTTACAGCAGCATTTGAAGACAAAAAACAAGTTCAGGAAGTAAGAAATTCAGATTAAGAAAAGGAATGGAAAAGAAATTAAAAGATTAAATTAGTTTTCTAAACATAGGGAGGGATATTTAATGTGTTACTAAAAAACATCCTTGATGTGATTTTTTAGAAAAAGATTAACACTGATGAATAGAAATAACTGTAAACATATTCTAGATTTTTAGAAGCTTTGGTTTATTGCTTGACAGCACTAGCATATAAATGAAGCCTATATCAGAAACAAGTCTTTGTAGGATGTCATTCAAAACCTCTTAAAATATTCAATGTCACTCAAGTATTTTTGTTAATTAATTAAAACAAGAAAAATGACCATAACTTTTTGAATAAACAAAGTAACAGTGAAAAGCCTGCACAGGAAAGCTGTACTATCTCAAGGTTTCTAAAACAGCCCATGTTATCTATCAAAAGAAGTTATCAGAGAAGTTATCTATCAGAAAGAGGACCGGAAGTACTAAATCCGACCATTAAAAAAGCCAAAAAGTAAAAAACACAAAGCAGACAAAACAAAGATACTAAAAGATCTTAGACTAGCTGAGAAAAAACAGACAAAAATGAACGGTTGCCATTTGCTACCACACTAAGCCATATAAAATAACGTGAACTGGAATAAAAGTACACATCTGTGATAGTTCCAGCCATTTCCCCTCACTGTCATCAAGACACAAAAGTTTCCAAAACCACAGTACTAGGAAATTTTGGGCTAAGATAATCTGAGTTCACTGCTCTCACAAGAAACAGACCCATTTCCTTACATTGCCTTAACTTCCAACACCTAACATTCCCTGCACTGAATAAATTCAGCTCACCAAATAAGGACAATAATAATAAAAAAGACAGACAACAAAAAGCGGAAAGTTTTCTACCAGAACAGAGAAATGAGCAAGGGTCAGAACTAGTGAATTTCAGCAAAAGTCAACTAGTAAATCATTCCTGTCATCTCAAAGGAGAGCACCAGAAACGCAGGTTTTTCCCAAACCCAAGCTTTGTGTTACCTAAAGAAATACACGTATAAATGTATTTCTGGTCTCCAATTTCATAAGCATGCCTCATTAAACATGAGCAGCAGCAAGGATATAAACGTTTCAGGAAAAGAACTTGTGAAAAAATGGGAGAAATTCTCCAAGAGCAATGTTACATTTGTATCCCAAATTACTGGGGCCTTCCAACTCTCAGTTACCACCTCCAGTGTTTGAGAAAGGATAGATATCTGAAAATGTAAGATTATTTTTTAAATGACTGGAGGATGTGACTCAGTCAAGTAACAACACAGTAGGAGCTGATGGTTGATCAAGATGTGTGACTAATAGCAGAACTCCATCTCCCCCCAAAACAATACTTAGGTTGCAAAACAACGCATGAAGGATTAAAACACTACTACTACCAAGACTACTGTGTTTGTTCAGCCTTTTTTTCGATCTTCAATAAACAGTCCTATACTGAATTAGGCCAGTAGATAAAAACTTGAAGCAATTACATTAGGCAACAGCATATCCATGTACCGAACTTGTAATTGCCAAGACACCCACAGAACTTGAACATTTCCAAATACAGCCTGGCAATCTGAAAATAATAATAATATTTAAAAAACAATATTCCAAAACACGCAAATAATATTCTACTGAATACAGTTGTAAAAAAGCCCCAAACTTGTAAAATTATGAGGCTCTGGAATCTTCTGCTCTGCACCTGAAACCACTTCTCTTACAATTTCACTAAGTTGAACTACTGCATTTTTATATTCATCTTAAATTATATGCAGGTAGTAATAAACACATAAAGTAAAACTTTTTCCTAAAACTGAATCCTTGTATGCTTCAGAGTCTCACTTTAGGGAAAATACTCTAAAACCTCTGTCAAGTCCCATTAAAAACAGCTTTGCTGCAGGGAGTTTACCACAGGGAATAAGCTTAAAACTTCTGATGTAATGGTTGCTTCACTCTTCCAAATTTTTGCAGTGATAGGTAGGATAGCTAAAACCAAATGCGACCAGTCAGCATCTACAGAGCCCACCTATTCACACCATAAAGTCAGCAAAGGCAAAAAGTTCAAAAAACATGCTAATACAAAACATCTTGCCTTCAGTACTTATTTCAGGGTTTCTGAATACCCAGACCTGGGACTGGGAGGCAGCACAGTACAGTGACCCAGCCTGAACGAGTTATTTTAATTCCATTCTCAAACCACAGTAGCTCCTTGGTGCAGTTTGCCATCCAACCCTCTAACAGCTGTACTGGCTTGACAGAGAGCAGAGACTCCCCACCAGCAAACAGCAGAACACCCTGTAAGCTGGAGCTACTGTCCAAATTCCTTCGTCACACACTTGCCTCCTACAGCAATGAAAACTACCCACTTAACCTAGCAGAAAAGCATGGAAGAGGAAACTACTCCCTCTGGAATGACAATAATTGTAGAGTAGTTGATTCATTCCAAGGGTTCAGCTGACTGGAAAACCACTTAGAGTAAAATTTGTTTACTACAGTCATTTGAGTGATTATTACAGCAGATAGAAATCTATTTGGAATGGGTTGTTCTTTTTTGCCTTTTACACTGAAAACCACTGGCAAAGTCTGAACAAGTCTATTACTAAAAAGGAATCATAGAAAAATAACGCAAATTAGTGAAACATTCCCCTGGAAAGAATAGACCAGTCTAGCCAGGAGCTTGATTCCTTTCCCAGCCAGATTCCTTTCACATAAAAAACCATATTTATTCTGCCCACCCCAAAAAACCAAGTGCTCACATACTTCTACATCTTTACAAGCCACACTGTTGAAGAAGCCCATACCTAAGCTCTGCTACTCTTCCCCAATGTAAAACTGAAAGTGGGACTTTGAGGATAAGAATTTAAACATCTAATTTTAAAAAATTTAAAAATTAAGTGGAGCAAATTGAAGTACTGGCAAATTCTACCTATTTAAACCACCAAGATCCACTACATATTTAAAAGGAAAACCAAGACATTAATTGCAAAATTACACACCGCAAATACGTTGTATTTATCCAATTTTAAATGGTATCTATTCATAGTGCTCTACATTCCTCAAGGCAAATACATGTTTGGCACGACCCAGCACGGGCTGACACATGCAAAACAACCAACATCTTCATTAGTATCTGAATGCGCGCTGCTCTAAATGTTAGAACACAAAATGCCAGAATGGGAAAACAGAGCAATGCCATTCAGCACACAGAAACTGAACATGAAAACATTCTACCTACCTGTCCCAGTCGTCATCTCCTGCTCGTCTTCTCCAAGACCTTTCTGCACCAGGCTTATCAAACTGATCAAAGTCATCATCTGTAAAGAAGGTGATCACGTTAAATAATTCTTACTGAAATGAGAGGTTTCCAAAGCAACCACACAGATGGGATTTTATGGGTGGGTGTGGGGGGGTGTGTGTTGTTCAGAAAATGCAAAATACTTTTTTTCAGAAAATGCAAAAATACCTTTTTCTACCTTCCAAGTTAACATGAAGTAAAAGCAGCCAAATATCCAACACAGAATCATTAAGGTCGCAAAAGAGCTTTCAGATCACTAAGTCCAACTGTCAGCCCAGCACCACCACCATGTTCACCATTAAACCACGTCCTGAAGTGCCACATCCGCACGTCACCTGAACCCTTCCAGGGATGGTGAATCCACCACTTCCCTGGGCAGCCTGTTCCAATGCTTTACAACTCTTTCTGTGAATTTCTTTTTCCTAATACCTTATCCAAATATCCCCTGGCACAACTTGAGGCCATTTCCTTGTCCTATCCCTTGTTACCTGGGAGAAAGGACTGACCACCTGGCTACAACCTTCTTTCAGGGAGTTGTAGAGAGCAAGAGCCTCCTTTTCTCCAGACCAAACACCCCTTGTTCACTCAGACGCTCCTCACACCATTCATCAGCTCCACTGCCCTTCTCTAGACCTGCTCCAGCACTTCAGTGTTTTTCTTTTTGTGAGGTGCCCAAAATTGAACACAGGACTCGAGATGTGGCCTCACAAGTGCTGAGTACAGGGGGATGATGATGGCTCTCGTCCTGCTGGCCACACACACAAGCCAGGATGCCACTGGCCACCTGGGCACACTGCTGGCTCATGTTCAGCCACTGTTAACCAACATCCTCATGTTTCAATAATAAAAAACCATAATGTACTACACAGCTTTCCCTCTTCTCACTACTGAGGTGAAGACTACCCAAGTAAAAGACAGAGCAAGAGATAAATCACTACAAAATTTTGCCAATAAAGGTCATCCCATAGACAGGAGTTTCCCAGAAATGCACGGAACAGATGCAATGGAGGTGAAGGGAACAGTCTCTGTCAAATCTCCATGTGCCAAGTGAGCCACAAGCTCATCCACCAACATCGAACCTGCAAAGGGAGGTCAGCACAAGGTAGGTCAGTACCAGCAGCCCAAAACAGAAGAGGGCAGTCAGGTCTAACACACCATCAGTTATCTCAACTGGGGCAGTAAAACCACTACAGGTCACTGAAACAGCTTATGGGGTGCGCCTAAGCAGGCACCTGCCTTCCATGAAACAACTGGTGCTCCGTATTTCTCTTAACAAGTACCCTCAATTTAGCCTACCAAATCATCCTCCATAGTTTAGTTTGTAAACTAGTATTTTGCTACTTAAAAATATTAAATCTTCCATTTATCTGCAAAGGATATGCAGAGGAAATGCAAAGGTCATCTGCTCTGTACAGACATCATGTCTTGTCATCTCTGAACTGGAAGCACATACCCTCAAAAACACTGAACTCTCACTCTCCCATCCTCTGGCTACAGCCTGACAGGGAATGTACACCTGGATTCACTCTCTATTCACGCACTTGAATGACAAAACAAATAAATAAAATAAATAAAAGCTATGCTCAACACAGAGGGAAAGCTGCTGCAGTTTAATGGTCTGCAAAACACAGGAGGTTGAGCAATCCAGTCCCTACAGTCTGAACCGGTGATCACTGAGATGCCATTCATCCTCCTGACTGTTTGCATTCAACTCTGACCAAGGACAATGCCACAGAACAACTGTTTCATTTGACTGGGTTTTCTGAGTTTGTTTAGTTTCTTAAATAAACCTTCAAAACCAACTCTGTCTGCAGCTCTTTAAATTCAACCCAGTATCCTTTAGTGAATATTACCCACATGCAATGACAAACCTATTCATTTTTCACTTCATATTAACAAAATACCGGTGTTAATCACTGACAGAAGTTTGAAAGGAGGTAGAACATTAAAAAGAGAAAATTCAGATCTTGCAACATCACATTAAGAACTTTCAAACCAGAAATTTCAATCAAAAATAACCATGAAAGTTAGACTGCTCAGTACAAATTATTATGTAACACAAGTCAAGTGTGGCAACTCTTCTGTTTGAAAACCAACTAGGTAAGAAATAATTCCCCTTTATCAAGTTCTCCCCTTTACTATTGACAGATAAGTTTATATTTTAACTCATTTTCTGTATTTAAACTAATTTACTTCAGCTAACATGACTGAATCAATTGTTTTACATTTCTCTGCTTAAGAATCTACATATTACAACCTCCTTCTATTCCAATTCCTATTTCAACCACAGGGGAAAGCCAGACAAATACACAAGCATTTCACATCTTCCTCTTGAAGGCTAAATTATCCAATGTTATGGTCTCTGGGGAAAAAAAAAAAAAAAAAGCCACCTTGCTCTCCTTATGGTCATTTAAAACCAGGTTGCAGTGACTGTCTTAGTGCACTGACATTTCAAGGACACAAATATCCTGTCCTGTCACTGTTCTTAGAGCTGGATTGTTGTAATCCACTGACTTGATGCAACCATTGCCAATGATTATTTTTTAAAGTAATGCACCTGATTTGGCAGTACCCCAAATTACAAGTGTCCACATAACACAGCTCAAGACAATGACCACCATCAGGAAGACTAACTTCTTTTTAAGCTGTGTCTGCTTACTTGCAAGGCCTATTTTTTCATGCCAGGCATCACGTCAGAACCAGAGAGCTGAGCTATAAACCAACAGCACTTGAAGATCTCAGCTCTTGGTACACAATTCTTTCAGAGAGATCTTCACATCAACCAGGTTAGACAACAGGACAGCCTAGACAACAGGAAGTTACACACCAAACACTTCTTCTCAGTTAAAATCTCTCTACAGCAAAAAGAAACACTTTTCAGTAAAATTCATAGCACTTTTTCAGGCCAGATATCTAATTCACAGCCATAAAAGCGCTTCAACCTGTTATTACTGCTGGTGAAGAAACAATATCAAAAGAGGGTCCAAGTTCCTGGCAAATTTCTAATGTGGACCTGAACTCCCACCCCTCAGGCAACATCATGAACCTCCAGCTCTTCCAACCAAATTTCTCACATCCTATCCCTTATTTATGAGCAGCTTCTACCAAAATTCAAAGCTGAATTACATCCAGCAAAGCCTTTTTCACAAGTCCCCTCTAGCAGGATGCATAAAAAAGCCTCAAGAAGGACTGGTCAATCTGTGTGTGGTGACTGCAGCTTGCAAGAACTGCTCCACATGTGTCCCCATCGCCTCCCTGTTCTCATCTCTTCTCTCTCTGTCTCAACACATGTGATATAAAGATCTTCAGGACAGAAGGAGACAGCTTTTCTGTTTTATGCTCATTTGTTCTGTGACAGCTGACACTGACAATGAGTGTTACAAATTATGCCATTTTGACATTAAGGAGCCCAAAGCAGGTTGTAGTTCTCCTTTAGAAAAGCAGATCACAACAGTCCCACATCTACAAACAGCATTCCTTGCCAGCTTCATCACTTGTGAGACAACAAGCCCTGCACTTGCAGTGCAATGTGATACCTAACACACATCCTGAGGCATCATTTTTCTTCTCCATTTCTGAAACCACACAGAGTTTCATTTTTCTTCTACCTGTCTAGGCAATAACATTGGAAAACACCAGTAAACAACAATCAGCATAACATCTATAGATGTTTGTCCCTGAGAAAGTTGTAAGTCAATGTTTGTGCCAAGGGTGGTTAAATGCCTGTAAAACATTAACTTGCACAGAAATAAGAACACTCAGCATCAGCAGGGCACAAAACCACTGCGACCAACAGCCAAAGATTAATTTTTTTATTAAAATTCTCAGTACTACTATGTGGGAGATGAGAAGGAAAAAAAGTGAGGGTGTGAATCCATGAACATAAGCTTTTAAAGCATGAAAATATATATTGCAGCAGTTGGAGGAGGTTCTGTATTTCTTCTAGTGGTCTCAGTGCACCATACACGGCAACTGTTGCTAAGACACGCCAGGCGCTGGCTACAGCTCCTCCCTGCAATTCTGGCTCTCCTGGCAAAGCTCACCACGATGATGTTTGTGCATCAGCCGGGTACCACCTGGAAGATCCTGACAGGTGATCACTAAACACTCTTAAATCCCTTTCCAAGGCAGAACTAGAAAGTTAAAGCAAACAAACAAACAAACAAAAAACTCTGAAACCAACAAAAAAACCAACCAAATACAACCTATCAAATACCAGAAAAGCATCAACTGAATAAGCAAGCAAAACAGGCCAGTTACAGAGGAAAAAGAAAACCTCAAATAATCCACCATCTGGTTCTTCCAACTGCAGTTCTAAGAAAACCACCATGATCAAAGTGGTACAGAAGTTTCAGGATGCTGCAGAGACAGAGTAGCACTGTTTTGTCAGACCAGCCTGCCTTGCAAGGCTCTGACCAGCTGTGAACCAGAATAAGCACAAAGACAGCCAAACACACTTGGGCCCCAAATTAAAGGTTCTTGTTTTCTTTATACTTACCCTGGTGTAGCACCAGCAGTGCTGCAAGTTGTTCTATACAGCTCATGTTCTGGTTTTATAATATATGTTTAGAACTTGTTATCTTTTTTTCCTGTTCAACAGGAACAGATCATCCACTCTACAAATCCACAAAATACATGCCTAATTTCCTCTTTGGCTATGCTGATGGCAGTTTTTAACTCTGTGGACACCCTTTCAATAAAACCTTCAGTAATTTTTTTATGTAAAATGGAAGTCTTAAGCTACACAGTCAGTCTCACAAGCGTAGGAGGTGAATCAGCAGGAACATTGCAGAGCTCTTAACATCATAAATTGTTACTAACACAGCTTAAAAAGGTAGTCCCACATAGCAACTGTTGCTAAGATGGAGTGTTTTACTGCAATGAGATGGCCAAGACTTCTAGACTAGGGAAAACATTTGATGACTGCATTGTTGGTCTTCCCTGAAATACACCTGAATGCTTCCCAGAACACCAACCTCACACTGCCTCAAACCTTGGCAGTTCAAAATTTTGTGTTTT